GATGGATCATTTGAGATGCAGTCAGTGGTATATAGAGAGAAGAGAAGTGGAGAAAGCACACATCCTTGGGGGGGGGGGTATGCTAATTGTACAGGTGTCTGATGTGATTTTGCTTAGCTTCACCTGCTGCTTCCTGTCTGTTAGGAAGCTTGTGATCCACTTACAAGTGTGTTCAGGTACCGCTAGCTGATTTAGTTTAGTTAGAAGAATGTCTGGTATGATGGTATTGAATGCTGAACTAAAGTCTACAAAGAGAACCCTTGTGTAGGTCTTTGGAGATTCAAGATATTGTAGGATGTAGTGCAGAGCCATATTAACAGCATCATCTGTCAATCTATTTGCTCGGTATGCAAATTGCAGAGGGGTCTAACAGTGGATCCATGATGATTTTCAGTTGGGACATCACTAGCCTTTCAAAGATTTTCATAACTACAGATGTTAGAGCAACTGGTCTGTAGTCATTCAGTTCCTTGATGGAGGGCTTCTTCGGCACTGGGATGATAGTGGAACATTTGAAGCAAGAAAGAACATGGCACATCTCTAGTGATTTATTTATTGAAGATTCGGGTGAAGATGGGGGCCAATTGGTCAGCACAGACTTTTAAGCAAGGAGGAGTTATCTTGTCTGGGCCTGGTGCTTTTCCTGGCTTTTGTCTGTGAAATAGATGTTGCACTTCCTTTTCTGTGATCATCAGGGGTTGTGAACCCAATAGGATTTTGTCAGTTGTAGGAGGCTTGGCTGTTGTTGGTGTGTCTGGGATGGGGATTGTGGAGATAGGTGGCTGTAGTTTCCTTTCGAATCTGCAGTAAAACATGTTCAGGTCATCTGCCAGTTGTTGATTTCCTTCAGCCTGGGAAGGAGGTTTGCCATAGACAGTGATATTTTTAAGAGTTTTCCACATGTTTGCTGGTTCGTTTGTTGAGAACTGATTTCTTAGCTTTTCAGAGTAGCTTCTTTTTGCTGCTCTGATCTCCCTTGTTAATATGTTTCTGGCCTGATTGTACAGCATTCTATCACCTTTTCTGTAGGCTTCCTCTTTGGTACGACGTAGCTGTTTAAGTTTAGTTGTGAACCAAGGTTTATTGTTACTGTATATTTGCAAGTTCCTGGTCTTATTAGTTCCAGTAGCTATAAAATTCAAATTGGAAAATATTAATTTTTTAAAAATCAATAAAAATCATTTCTGAGAGTGTCTTTGTCCTAGATATGCATTCTTCTCTGGAAATATCATTTGTTTCCTTGAAAGCAACAATGTAGAAGGATTCTGTTGGGATGATGACTTAGTGTTTGGTTTTGGTGCCTTTTATGTCTGTCTTTCCAAAATTGATACCCTCCAGATGTGTTGGGATTACAGTTCCTAGAATTTCCACATTCAACACTCTGGAAAAGTGCTGGAGTGTTGCTATGCACAAGTGTTACCCTACTTTTAAAATCTTGTGAGACATTACCTAGCTAATCATTCTGTAGTTCTACTTCTATAATACCAGTCTATGGTTTTCATCTTTCATTGAGTTGATCAAAGTCCTCTGAGTTTTTCAGTGTTGTGACTCATAGTTAACACTTAAGAGAGTTAAAATGTATAACATATTTTATTTTCCTGGGTGGTTATTAATATGACTTAAAGGAGCTATGGTGACACAATGGCTAGAATGCAGCATTGCAGGCTTGCTCTGCCCACACATCCAGGAGTTCAGTCCTGACTAGTTCAAGGTTGACTCAGCCTTACATCCTTCCGATGTTGGTAAAATGAGGACACAGATTATTGGGGGTAATATGCTGTAAACAGTTTAGAGAATGCTGTAAAGCACTATGAAGTGGTATATAAGTCTAAGTGCTATTAAACTAGGAAGCTACTAGTATTGCTTGATAGATTTTTGTCTAATTTTTTAAAAATCAGCTAAGTTTTTGAAATTTAGAAATATTAAATATAATTTGATTTATAGAGAGCAAAATTTATTTAATTATTTTATTTATTTGAAGCAAACGCCTCATAGACATTTCAGCTAGTAGGTCCTATTTAATCTTTGTCTCAGTCAAACCATATCCTTAATAAGAAGCGGATCTATCAGTGTAGATTGCCAGACTTGATATATTACACAATGCCACAGGACATTAGCTGTTGTTTTGGTGGTTACTTTTGATGTTATGTAATGAAGAACTGAATAAGAGATGTTATTAAACTAGTTCTTTGCTTACTTTGAGGGTAGGCCATTAAAAAGTATTAGTGTGAACGCCTTTTTGTTGGTGGGGGGAGAAATCTTTAAAAAATCATTTAAATGAGGAAAGAATTATAATAAAAGCTTCCTAAGGCATGACTTAAAGCTTAGATCTTTCAATTCAATTCAACTCAGTTCAAGATCTAGAATGCATTGTTTAATTTCAGAAATGCTTTTCTTCAGAACCATTGCTTTTAGCACTTAAACTGACAGACTATAGCAGGGGATACCATTCGTTGTTATTTTTTTTTCTTAAATAATTTGTCTACAAGGATGAATTGCGCCATAATCTCAGGTGACAGATTTTCATATGATATGATATGCTAGAGAAGAAGATCCTTATAAAGTCTTGGAACATTAGAGATAATTGAGAAGTACGGGGAATCTGTATTGAACTACATCTAAGGATAATATGTCTTTATAAAGACAGAATTATGCACTATTGAATAAAAGCAAAATTGCCTTAGGTCTGAAGTTCAACTGCTGCTGAAATAGAAGCCTGATAGATTATCACATCTAATAAGCACATTTGACGCCTCTGTTTGTAAGATGAAAGTTCTCAAACTTGTTGTTTTCAACTAAAGGACCACTATTTAAATCACTTTGTTTGTTCTGTTTTGATACCATTTATGTTCGTAGTCAGAGCTTTTTTGTGTATGACTACCTTCTTTTTGAATAATTAACTAAAAGCATTTTTGGCTGCAAAACTGGCTTAATTGAAACAAAGAATTAGAATATAAATTGTATTGTTCTATTTTATTAGAATAAAAATTTTCACAGAATAATATAATCACTCAAAATATATGACAAGCAAGGTTTGGTTGCTGCTGATTTCTTGTAAAACCTTTAAGTCAGAATTGTATCCAATGCTGTCTTCAGATTGTTGAAGACAGATTGGTGGGCATATTGAGCATATTTTTGTGAAAATGTGATGCAGGATTATGCATTGATGTAAGGTTGAATATTTGAGTCTGAACTGGCTTGTTCTATAGCTGGAATCTTTTTAGATTACTCAGTGAAAAAGCTTGATTAGTTTATAGTATATAATTGCCTATTTATACTTTTAGGCTTAAATTTGATGTAATTAGATAGATTGGATGTTAATGGGGATTGCTATAGAGTAGTGCTGTCAAACTCCCGGCCCGTGGGGCGGATGCATCATGCGTTGGCCACGCCTACACCCAGTTTAGCAAAGGGGGAAAAAGTCCCAATACGTCATGTGACGGCGCCATGATGATGTGACTTTGACACCCCTGCTATAGAGCAACCCATCATCCAGCATTTAATTTTAAAAAAATAGGTTTTCAGCAAATATTAGATTAGCCTTAGATGTTAATGAACATAAAACTCTTTTTAAACGTTAAAGCAGGGGTGAAATGCTACCAGTTAGCTCCGGTTCGGGCAAACCGGTAGTGATAAAAACTACCGGTTCTGGCGAACCAATAGTAAAAAAAAGCTACCAGTTTGGGCGAACCAGTAGTTAAAAAAGCTACTGGTTCGTTCAAATCTGTATTTCCGACGATCAGCTGTGCCATGCGGTTTAGCTTCGCTAGAAAGCAGGAAATCCGGCTTTCTAGCGAAGCTAAATCATGCGGCACAACTGTTCCCCCCTCACTGTTCTGTTTACCTAATGAAGTCTTCTTTTTCAGTGCAAAACATGCATTTAGTGCACACTGTGCATGTGTGCGCAGCGTGCTTTTGGCATGCAGCATTCATGCATAGGCAGCAAACAGGTGGCGATCCGAGGAGGATTTCACCACTGCGTTAAAGTAGCACAGTGGCTAGCAGTGTGCTAATTCTTTATCTTCTAGCCTAATTGTATATGACCAAAATATTAATTGTTTTCATTGGACAGACCCTTTTTTGTACTGGCTACTTTTAAGGGTTTACTTATCTGCAATGTTCCACCTCACAAAGATACATTTGCATATGGATATGTAGAGGACCTTGAGTTCCTAGCAAAGGATTCTATTCCACAAACACAAAATCTATAAGATTTATTTTATTTATTTTTATTTTATTTATTTAGTTTGTCAAACATATACGAGGTAACAGGTATAAGTATAAACATGGACATGAACACAGGAAATGAGTACAAATAAGTAGGGAATAGTAGGACAGGGACAGTAGGCACGCTGATGTGCTTATGACGCCCCCTTACAGACCTCTTAGGAATGGTGTGAGGTCCACGGTAGACAGTTTAAAGTTGAAGCTATGGGGATTTGAGGATGTAACAATGGAGTCAGGTAGAACATTCCAGGCATTGACCATTATAGTGTTGTATCTAATGCAGTAATGAAACAAAAAACAATTATGAGGTTGATATTCCCCTCTAATAAATCATGCCAGCTTTGACTTATGAAATAGATATTGTGCTCTTTTTCAATATTGCAAAAAAATACAATAGCAAGATTTTAGTTTTATTTAAATCTAAATGCTTAAAACAGTTTAATTTCTTCAGTTACTTGATTTTCAATACTGTATCATGACATTGTATCTTGATAGCATCTGAATAAAAATTATTTGAACTTAGAAATATTTTCTTCATGCTACCTCTTTCTCCCAACTTGTCATTATGAGTCATCATTCTCTCTGGACTAAACACCTGATAAGTTTTCATGAGTGATTTTCTGTTTCAAAAGTTAACTTAGCGAACTTTTCTTTTTTACAGAAATGTATCTGACTTGATTTTTTTTTTCCGTTCGTTTATATAGCAGTTGTTTAATGCAGGAATGGAAATCTTTGAGAGTAGCAATTTTATGATACAGTGTTTTCCTTTCCAGGTTTTCAAACAGGAACAGAAGAAGATGGATACAGCTGATGGGGGTACAGCTGAAACATCTTCACGTTATAGTGGAGCCCAGGACAGTGGCATTGGCAGTGACAGTGTTAAAATCAGAATAGTCCAAATAGAACAACATAGCGGCACCAGCCAACATCGCATTGCCCAACCTTCCCGACAGTCTTCTATAGTGAAGAACCTGAACTTTATTCCATTTGACATTTTTATTACTGCCAGCCGATTCTCCTTCATGACTTATTCATGTACTACTTTACTTAAATCAAAATCACAGGAAGATCAAAAAGAGGGTGAAAAAACCATCAAAAGTTCATTAAACCTTCCAGAAGCAGTTGATGAGTGCAAGAAATCTGACAAAGCAGGTTTTTCATCAGTAACAGCAGATGATCTTCTAAATTGCAACAGTTCATTGCCCTCTGGGAAAAAATCAGGTCTTATATCTTTGGAAAGTCTTCATGCTTCTACAAGATCATCTGCTAGACAAGCCTTGGGAGTAACTATTGTCCGGCAGCCTGGTCGCAGAGGAACTGGAGACTTGCAGTTAGAGCCATTTTTGCACCTGGTTGTATCGCAACCATCTTTTATCTTAAGCTGTCATCATAGAAAACAAAGAGTGGAAATATCTGTGTTTGATGCTGTCCTCAAAGGTGTCGCATCAGATTACAAGTGTACAGGTAAGATTATTTACTATTCTTAAGGTCATAGATTCACTGCCTAATTTTTTTGTTTAGGTGTGAACAAAAAGAAAAAAAAAGTTTATTCTAGATAAACGTGAGGTTATTTATTCAGTAGCTTGAGCTGATTTTATTGGCTACATAATTTGATTCACTAACTTAAAAATACCAGGAAAGCAACAGAATACAGTTGTTCTACACTTTTTTAAAAATGTTCTAACATTTTCATGTTGGTTTCCTGTCCCCTCCCCTAATCTCTTACACACAATTACTAGCGCATACACGGTAAGATAAGGTACCTTTTAACTATCTAATTACTCCACTGTTTGTGGCCGTGTACTATTATAATTCCTACTTGTTGTAAGAAATTAGACAGTTTCAGGTGCTCTTAAACACAAGAAAAACCTTTTGGGTAATATGTTCAACTCAAAATATTCAAAGAAAAATAAGTCTGGTATAAGTCTCTTGTTGCCCTACTTGGGTACTGGAACTGGTCAAGATCTTGGAAAAGTTATGCTGAATATTACACGCACTCTTGTAAATCAGAGCTCCGTCTTGGGTTGGGTATATGCATTGTTTTGTTCTGTTTGATCATTGGTCCTTTTACTTCTTCTTCCCCATCTCAGGTATTTATTTATTTTTTTGTACTCTTTTACTATATTCTTTCTTTCTCAATAGATTCCTCTTGTTCTCTTCATTTCTACATTTCCTTCTTAGGTTTATTTAAGGTTTATTCTTTCAGCTATAATGTCTGATAGTCTTGATAGTCTGTATTTTTTTCCCTTCAGTCTTGACTCCTGACAACTGCTGGACAAGCCCCTGCAGTTTTCTTGCAAGATTTCAGCAGCAGTTTCCCTGCTTCTTAGGTCTGAAAGAGAATGTCTGGTCCATGCTCACCCAGATGGCATTGTGCCCAAGGCAGAATTAGAATTTATGGTCTCCCAATTTCTGGCCTGATGGCTTAACCACTACATCAACTGGCTGCAATATCTCAACTTTAGCCTGTCTTGCTAAATTTTCTCCATGAGATTTTTTTTTCTCAGTCATAAGAGTTGCTTCAGTGAATTATTCTTGTCACTCTGAAAAGTGTTCTGTAGTTTCATGTGTTAAATCAGTCAGAATATGTTAGAATTCCAAAGCAGATTGGTTGGATTTTTGGGGGGGTAGTAGTGGTGGTAGTTGCAACATCATTTGCAATCTAAGGCAAAAGTTCTTTAGCTTCACAGGACAGTTAGGCAATGTTAATTTTCATTTCTACTTAAATTTTCATATTAATTACTTATATACTTAAAAGTACACAACATCATAGTTCTTTTAAAAGCTATAAATGATTTAGTATGCAAAAATTCACAGGTTCTGTGACTGGCATATCGAAGGAGTTACTTCTCTTCTGAAATGATGGACAGCCAGAATAAATTGGGGAAGTTTTTATTTATTTATTTATTGGTTCGATTTATATGCTGCCCTTTTCCGGAGACTCAGGGCGGCTTACAATGCGTTAAGCAATAGCCTTCATACTTTTGTATATACCTGCTTAGTAGGGCTTTCAGGCTCCCCTAAGCGGTGTTCTTTTTTATACAAAGTCAGCTTATTGCCCCCACAATCCGGGTCCTCATTTTACCTACCTTCGAAAGGATGGAAGGCTGAGTCAATCTTGCGCCTGGTGAGATTTGAACTTGCAATAATTGCAGGCAGCTGGTGTTATCTTAACAGTACTTTAGTCTGCTGTGCCACCAAGGCTCTGCCAAGGTTGGCAGAGAGTTCGTTTAATTACTCTTTCTAAGAGCTTTTTCTTGTGCTTCCATTATCTAGTCTCATCCATTCAAATTAGAGGTGCCCTTCTGATGTTGATTTCATGGAGTGATAGATTTGGAAAGGCCATGGAAGTCATTTAGTCTTATCCCTCCGCTCAGTGTAGGTTCTACTACGGCATATCTGACAAATGACTAAATATGAATCAGTTGCCCAAGCATCTGAATTTTGATCACGTGACTCTGGTGATGCCGAAAAGGTGTTAAGTGTGAAAAAGGGTCATGTCACTTTTTTCAGTGTCGTCATAACTTTGAAAAGTCACTAAATAAACTGTTGTAAGTCGAGGACTATCGATATACCCAGATCCTTTCATCATTCCCCATAAGGCTTGGCTTCTTGGTAACTATCCTTTGCACTTGTATTTACTCTTCTTTTTGAACCGTACCAGAAATTGAGGCAATGCTTAGAAATGGAGTCTGATGAAGGGAGAGTAGAATGCAATCTATGATCTGCATTCTGTGTTTCTATTAAATACACTCCAAAGTGGCATTGTGCCTTTTTAGCATCTGCATTTGACTCCTGATTCACATTTCATATGTTGTTGAGAAGGACAGATAAGTCCATTATGTAATTACTACAAATAGTCTTAAACGTATAACCACAGTTTGGAACAGAATTTCCATTGCTAAAGAAGATGGTTAAGTGAATCACATCTGATTTTGCAATCTGTTTTGCTATGGTTGTTAAGCAAATCATTGCAGTTGCTAGGTGAATCACACGGTCATTAAGCGAATTGGGCTTTCCCCATTGATTTTGTTTGTCAGAAACCAGGTGGGAAGGTCGTAAAGAGAGATCATGTGACCCCAGGATACTGCAACTCTCATAAATACATGCCAATTGCCCAGCACCTGAATTTTGATCGCATGATCATGGGGATGCTGCAACTATTGCAAATGCAAAGACCAGTTGTAAGTCCCTTTTTTCAGTGTCTTGGTAACTTCCAATGGTTGCTAAACAAATTGTTGTAAATTAAGGACTGCCTGTACTGCCAAGCCAAGTCTCTTCCGTCTTATAATTTGTGCCTTATATATTTTCCTACACAAATACAGAACTTCACATTTTTTACTTAAATTCCATCCTATTCATTTCAGCCCACTGCTCAAGCCTGACTAGATCTTTTTGATCTATCGTTCATCTAAAAGATTAGTTTTGTGTCATCTACAAACTTTTAAAGTTTCTTTCCAACTCTCTGACCCCAAACATTAATAAAAAAACGTTGAATTACACAGGGCTCAGAACACTTCACATTATGCTTTCCTTCAGGCTAGAAACATTGATCATCTTTGGGGATGGTAATTAAGCTGATTGTAATTTCATAAAACAGGAGCATCATTTGGTTCATATTTTACCATTTTATGAACAGCATCAGAAGGTACTCTGTTGAATAGTTTGCTGAAGACCAGTGATAATGGGCCTGTGGCATTCCTGACCTACTAACCAAGTAATTCTATGAAAGAAAGAGATACTGTAGAGTTAGCATGACATGGTTTATTTATGATATACCCCTCTTAGATCCTATTAAATGTAAAATGTCTATCCATGGACTCAGAAACATGCTGCTTCATAATCTGTTCAAGAACCTTACCTAGTAAAGATGCTAGATTTACAGCATTGTTCTTGCTTATGTCTTCCTCCTTTCCCTTTCTGAAGACGAGGATGACATTTGTTCTCATTCAGTATTCAAGGATCTGACTAATCTTGAAAACTTATTGCGAATGGTTCTGTGGTCACATTTTCAAATTCTTTCAGTACCTCGCAACATGCTTGATCATCACTTGAATTCATTTAGCTAAATTCTATTATGCTGAAATTCTCTCCTTTCCATAAATGACATAATTTTGTCCATTTCCTTTCTAAGATAAGATGCAAAAATAATAGTTAAGATGTTAAATTCTGCACACAGGGGTGAAATCCAGAAGGTTCTGACAGGTTCTGCAGAACTGGTAGTGGAAATTTTGAGTAGTTTGGAGAACTGGCAAATACCACTTCTGGCTGGCCCCAGAGTGGGGTGGGAATGGAGATTTTGCAGTATCCTTCCTGTGCCACGCCCACCAAGCCACACCACACCCACCAAGCCACGCCCACCAATAGTAAAAAAAATTGGATTTCTCCACTGTGCCCACATAATGAAGATCCCAACTGAACCCTGAATTTTTACTATGTGGACAGTCACTTAACTATTTTCCCTCTCCTAGTGTTATGAGGGGAAGGTTATTATTTCATTTTTTTCCCTAAAAGGATGCTCTTATCCAAACATGAGAGATGCAGTGGCTCAGTGACTAAGACGCTGAGCTTGTCGATCGAAAGGTCGGCAGTTCAGCAGTTCGAATCCCTAGTGCCGCATAACGGGGTGAGCTCCTGTTACTTGTCCCAGCTTCTGCCAACCTAGCAGTTCGAAAGCACGTAAAACTGCAAGTAGAAAAATAGGGACCACCTTTGGTGGAAAGGTAACAGCGTTCCATGCACTTTTGCCGTTTATTCATGCCAGCCACATGACCATGGAGACATCTTCGGACAGCGCTGGCTCTTCGGCTTTGAAATGGAGATAAGCACCGCCCCCTGGAGTCGGGAACGACTAGCACATATGTGTGAGGGGAACCCTTACCTTTACCTTATCCAAACATGATCAAATAGTCTATTGATTGATTATTTTCAATATTAAGAATCACTTAACAGAACCCGTGAAGTCGTTCCCCCCCCCCCCCAATAACAAATGTGCCCAGAAGCAGTTATGAATTACTGGTTGCCCAAAGCTGCCATTTCCTTTAATTGCAAAAGTCAGAAGCAAAAGCCTAGTTTTGTTTAAAACATATTTTCTCAGTAATGACTCTGACTAACTGGCTGTGGAGGATCATTTTTTTCTGAATGGACAATTTCCATCCATACCAAGTCTCCCATTTTTTTAAAAAAAGTCATAAACATAAAATGATACAGCAAAAATTTGCTTAGCAGAAGGCATTTCCAATTTTTTCAGAACACCATGCTCTTCTACATAGCCATTAATTTTAGTTTTTCACAATGTGTCTGATTAGACTGGGACTTGTTTTTTTTTTAAATTCTGTGACATTAATCTGCTTAAATCACATTAGATTGCTTTTACATATTGAAATACACATCTAAAATTTAAAAATTATATTGCCAAATTGAGTGCATTCATTTGTCAGACAATAAATTCCATTTCTCCTTTGCTGATAGGACTGACAATCCTTAAATTCCTTTGTCATTCATGTAACACAATTCCTGCCAGGTTTTCTGAATCATGATTACACTAAATAATACATTCCAAGAGAGACTTGATGTGCTAAAACTCATACTGTGTTACCATGTGCTGGCTATAATTATGAAGCCGTTATGCTAAAGTTTGAAGCTTGTGTGCTTAAAAAGAGAACAATCTGTTGAAATGAATAATGCAGGTTGGCAAAATCCTTAAATTATCTAAAGGGCATGGTTAGGGTTTTTTGTTTTTGTTTTTTAAATTTTTGGTAAACACCATTATGTAACAGCAGAGGAGTAAGTGTCATGAAGTTGATATGACATAATTGAGATTTACTTATATTCTTTTATTGTTCAGCTCTAATCAACTTTAGAAAAACAAACAAATAAAGCAAAGGAAGTGAGCAGCCAAAACCCCCTAAATGGTTTTATGCAGTTTTGATTTCTCATATATGGTGTCCTGGACATGAAGAAAGGCATAGAGCTGAGAGGTACCAAATGTGAACTTTTAGTCACAATTGGAAATATTAAGAATTCAGCAAAGAGGTCCCATTAAAGAGAACCAAGAGGAAAAGCTACTGAAGTCAACTTCAAAAGTATGGCTGTAAAAAGGGATTGAAGTGTCAGTGAAACTATAAACTGTATCAAATAACCCATAAGTAGAAGCACTCTATTGCATCTCGAACCATGTGGCTTTCTGATCTCTTTAGTTTATTTTATTTTGGGGCAGATGTCATTTTTAAAGACATCTGAAGAAAATCTAAATGCATTACTAGAAGAAATAAAATTTAGATCATAGACCTTATTAGATGCACAATTACTAGAGACATTTCAGATATGATAAGCTTATTTGTCCATTCCTGATGGCTTTTACATTTGGTGATGATAATATTTGGCAATCAATACTTTTTACTAATGTGTAATTAACATAATTACACACCTTTAAAGCGCTCCATGGCTTAGGGCCGGGGTATTTACGAGACCGCCTTCTGCCACTAATAGCCTCCCACCGGCCAGTACGCTTGCACAGAGTGGGCCTCCTCTGGGTGCCATCCGCCAGACAATGTCGGCTGGCGACCCCAGGGGGAGAGCCTTCTCTGTGGCGGTGCCCACCCTCTGGAACAACCTCCCCCCAGAGATACGTACAATTACAGACCTCCGGATTTTTCGTCGGGCCCTGAAAACCTATTTATTTCAACTAGCTGGGCTGGCTTGAGTTAAATTTTAAATTGATTTTAAATCAGATTGTTTTAATTTACGGCCAAAATATTTAATTATTTTAAACTGTTTTTTAAATTTTGTATGTTCTGTTTTTTACTTTGGCTGTTCACCGCCCTGAGTCCTATTTGGAGAAGGGCGGTATAGAAATGGAAACAAATAAAAATAAATAAATAAATAAATAATACAGAATTTATATGTGCCCTGAATTAGATACAGTATTATGTACAGAATAAAGTTTGTCTTATTTTAATACTGTTAGTGATTTAATCAGCTATGTCATAAATGGTCTTCTTATCATTTGTAGATCCTGGAAAAACTCTCCCAGAGACACTTGACTACTGTAAGACCTGGTTACAGACAGTAGCAGGGGAAATAGATGCTAAAAGTGGTATTCCACCTCCTCTCATAACATTGAAGATTAAAGACTTCCTCAATGGCCCAGGTAAGAATGACCAACAATTGTCAATTGATATTCTAAACTTAATATATTAATTATGTTTCTTGGAGCAACAGGCACAGATCATAAGTGTGGAGATTCTTTTCTCCATTGTTATCATTAAAAAAATTAATGTACATTAACTCAACTTCCAAACTTGAGTTAACAATTGGTATTCACTGAATGAAGACTTCTTCCATTTATTTACAAGCTGTAGTTGCTTAAGGATGGTAATTGGGACAGGAATTCCCATTGTTACACAATGTGGTCATAAAGCACAGCATCACGTGATGCGTCACTTACGGCAAGGGCAATCATTGCCATCTTTAATTAAAATTTCCAGATCCTTATGATCTGATGATCAGCAAGAATCTGATGTGATTACAACTATGTGCTATGGCAAGTATGTATGGGCTGGGGAGGGAATGCTGCAGAGCTATATGATTACATAAAGCTGGAGAGGGATTTATGCAGTTGGGGATAAAGGTTGCGGTACTCATGTGTGCATGTGGACTATGGAGATGTTGCTGTAATACCACATGAGGGTTGTGGAGAGGTTGTTGCAGCACTGCATGAGTGCATGCAGCATGCAGATAGGTTGCTGTGATGCTGTGTGAGTGCATATGGGCTGCAAAGGGGGTGCTGCAATGTGAATGTGACACAGAATACGAGGTCCCTTGGGAGAAAAAGTTACAACATTCCCCATAGACTTCCCCACTAACTTTGCTTATGGGAAGCCTGCAGAGAAGATTTGGTAATGGTGATAATGTGAACATAAGTTGCTGCAACTTTCATAAGTGTGAGGCAGTTACCAAGTGCCCAGATCTCAACTGTATGATTGCAAGAGTGGTATACTGACCAGAAAGTGATAAGTACCACTCATACAGCATTGTCATAACTTTGAATAGTTGCTGAATGAGTGGTTGTTAACCAAGAACTATCTGTACTCCACCTGTATTCTGCCCAAATTCAGAAACTTTAGGTAGCTCGTATATTTTATAACATTCCTTCTTTCAATTATGATACCTTGTTGTTTATACAGAGAATAGTGTACTGTAATGATATCAGTTATTTCATTTCTTGATACATTTCTTGACAAAAACACAGTATCATATGAAAATCTCTGTAGATGGGAAGGCCAGATTATATGTCTTAAATGGGGCATAATTACTTCAATATTTGAGAATGCTTCTAATTCACTGGTTCTCAACCTTCCTAATGCCGCGACCCTTTAATACAGTTCCTCATGTTGTGGTGACCCCCAATCATAAAATTATTCCTAAAACCATTGAAAATATGTGTTTTCCAATGGTCTTAGGTGACCCCTATGAAAGGGTCGTTCGACCCCCAAAGGGGTCCCGACCCACAGGTTGAGAACCACTGTTCTAATTGCTCAAATTGAAGACTTTAAACATGAATAAGCACTAGCCATAATAGAGACCATGTACTCCACAGTCAACAATAAGTGAACTAAGCAAATAGAAATTTTGCATTGCCTGCTTGAAGTTATACTAAATGGTGCGCACACATATTGTATGTTCTCTCAAGCGTTCAACAGTGTCTGCATGAAGAGAAGAGGGGCAAATGATAAAAACACCATTGTACCCATGCAAGGCAAGATTGTTGCTTGGAGTGGAATTTACAGAACAATGCTACTTTCATCATTTTGATGTGGTGGTAGATCCATTAGATGTGTGACAGTTGTTTCATTGATGGTTCCCCATATATAATGATTGCGTATTGTTTGACTTGCCAGACACAATTCTTCAATTCTGTCCTAGACACCCTGGCTCTATAGCCAAACTCCTGGATTATTTGAACATGTAACCCTTAATCCATATTCGGCATGCTATTTGTTGAGTAATCCCTTCTCTGTGGAAAGAAGGCATTGCTATTTGAGACTGGCAGTTTATTTCAGGGTTAGGCCAGGTGTAAGAGAATGTCTTGTATAGGAAAATGAAGAAAACTTCTGTCATCAGTCAAACTGCAGTACTTTTTCAATATGCCAAGAGTTATTTTTTTAGAATATGAATCAATTAGTTAATTTATCTTAAAATTTCTGAATATTTTATGTAACACTGGTGAATCATTTGCAATTAGATATGAATTTCAAATAAATTCAAATGGTCATTTAATTTTGGTGAACCATCACTAACACTTTTGTATTATTTCTTTTTAAGTATACAACTACCCTGTTTCCCCCAAAATAAGACATCCACTGATAATAAACCCAATCGGGCTTTTGAGTGCGTGGCAATAAGACCAAGCGCTTATTTCAGGGCTCAAAAAAATATAAGACAGGGTCTTATTTTCAGGGAAACATGGTAGAATAAGGGAATATTAAAATTTTCAACACACTTTATCACAGTTTTTGAAATAATATATTACAAAAACTGTCAGTGATTCATAAAATTTAACATCTAATCACAAGTCCAAAAAATCTTCAAGCTGTTCATGTTATTTTCTTGGAAAGTTCTCCATATATTAAATGATGAAGCTTCTTGAAAATTTACTATCTAAAGTGATTTGCTGTAGACCTTTAGCCAGTTCAAATTGAGAAATATATTAAGAATGAGAAATAAAAGGTTGCTGAATGAGCTCTGCATTTCTAGGGTTTCCCTTCTCTCCCTTCTGTTGTTTGCATTTTGTGATGAATAACATACATACATCCAGCCATCCATAAAAAAGCACTTTGTACAGAGTCTGTCCTCTTTACTCCAAAGGAAACAATTGTACCCATTAGCAAGGTCAGTGGTTTGGAGAAAACTGGAAAGGAGCAGCTACCAGAAATCCCAATACAATAATATCTCCAGCAGGTGATAGATTAGTTGGAACAAATTGGAACCATTGCACTTGGACAATCCTGGTTTCTTTCAAGCTGTTTTAAAATGTCGTCATTTTAATATACAATCTCAGCCCTGCAGAACAGTCCACAGCAGGTTAATTTGAATCATATGATGTGTCATTGCCCTCAGTTGACATGAGCTCCGTTCCATGTGTGAAGCCATAATAAATCCATTCCCAAATGAGACAAATTCCCTGTGAGAAGGTGAACTAATCCAGGCCTCACACTGGCATGCTAGCCTTCTGTAATTGAAAGCAGGATCACCTGTTTCCATCACAGTCAGTCTATGGACGAAAAAGTAGCATGAGATCAGATAGTTACTCTTTTGAAAAATCATATTTCTCAGAGAGTTCAATTATAGGCTGTCTAATATGACATCATATATAAATGTAGGAATGTGCTCATTTGATCCCAGTTTAACAGTTTTGTTAACCATGGTGTTGCTTAACTTTGAAATGAGTTTTTTTTATATATAATTTAATGAGAGATGATATATGAGAAGGGAACTGACCGGAGTACATACTTTTCTGATTAATTTAGGGTTATTTGCAAAAGCATTTCAGTACTTGGGTAAGGTTATTTTTTCATTACTTTTTTTTACAAATATCTTTTTGAGATAGTGATACTGTATAGTTATAAAGCTGAATTCCTTTGTTAGAGGAAGTGAATTATGCCAAAAACCAAATATTCTCTCAAATAAATATGGTTTAATTGGTTGCAAAAGTCAGTTCTAGGAAAAGCTGCAAGTGGGAATGTCTGTGGAGATTCTCAATCATCCAGGTCATAGTGGTTCTAAAGGTGCTTTTCCAAAAGGCAACTGGACTTTCTTTCTTGTTTTTTTCGTTGAAAACCTTTCACTTCTCACCCAAGAAGCTTCTTCAGTTCTGACTTCTTCAGTCAAAACTGAAGAAGCTTCTTGAATGAGAAGTGAAACATTTTCAAGGAAAACCCCCCAAGAAAGTCCAGTTGCTTTTTGGAAAAGCATCTTTGGGACTTCAAATGGGAATGTTTTTTTCATCAGTCTAAGGTATTTATAATACATAATATTGTTTTTGCCTTTCATATTCTTCTCCTATTCAGTCCTATCCATCTGTAATTATTTTTACTTATATTAGAAAAAATGTTGCTGAATTGTGGATTTTAAAAGATGCTCAGCTCCATCTCCACTCCACAGAATCAGAACATTTTCATTCATATCTATTACATCCATCCTTCTTCTGTTGGTTTCGTGGACATGGCATCTGTTTTCTTTTACTTTCATTCCAATAGCTCATTCTTGCTTTTTACCATTTAGTCTTCTTACATTCAAATCATATATATTTCATATGCCATAGCTTATGTCAGATAGCCCATAGATATGGCACTTGCCTATCATGGTTTAGTCAGTTGAAGCTTTTATATATCACTGCTTAGTAAAACAGGAAAATGGGGAGGCTGGGTTACTAGGTCACTATCTCATGTAGCAATCCCTATTAATGATAAGGATTCATAAACATTTGGATACTATACACTCAATCAAAGTCTAGTTTTACTCCAGGAATATGTGTATCTCATCAGTTAGAAAGTGCATGTAGTATACTGACATATGCAGGATGAAACCAATTTTTTAGAAAGCCCAAAACAAAGTGGTTCTTTGGAAATAAGCTGTCTTGCCAACTCCCAAAACACCTTGACATTCTTCCCTTTATAAAAGCACTTCCAGAAGAAGGAAGAGATTTAGCAAGGTCTTCAGCCTTAGCATTTGGACCAAGAAGAAAAGAAGAAATTAGCAAAAGTTTTCCTATTGCAAAGATCTAAAAATGTCATTAAGGAACATGCCTATCAGACAGCATCAGCTGAAGAAGCAAAATTTCTGCTGAAAAAAATCTTATTTGGAAGTAAGTTCTGTTGCCATCAATTACACTTCTAAGTGTATGTACTCCAGATGATAACAAAAAATGTGAGATTTTAAAGTTAATAGTTAAACTAGAACAATGCAATTCAACAAGGAAATTGAACACATTAAGATCTTACCAGACTTTCAGACTTTTCTTGATAATGCTTAGAAACCATTTGGTGTGTTGATGAGAAGACCCACATAATAAGAATGCTTGGAATATTTTTGATGCAGGCTAAATATCAGCTTACTAGAGGGAAGTGTATGGTAATATTAACAGATATATAACAGGCTAATAGACACAAGACTTTGGAGTATCCATTAACCATATGTTTTGCTAATTAAAGAAAATAACAATTAATCTTACTTTCCCAAGTAAATTCAGAGTTCTATTCGTTTTCTGATCCTTTGTGGTGAGAGATTTCAATTAGCTAAAAGGGGGAAAGAAAAAAATGGTTTTAAACACAATTCTTAAGGATGTATTTTGTTGGAGAAAATGAAAAACGGCTATACATTAAATCACTAGAGATAGTTGGAAATACCTTACAAAAAGCCTAGGAAAAGATGCAGCTGCTTTAATGGGAGCTGCTTCTTATCTATTTCCATGGATTTCAGTGAACTTTTACAAAGGACTTGCACAGCCCTAATATTGAAGAAATATAAACGAATAAAGAAAGTAAATCGGAGAGAGAATGAAAATAGAATTTTGTAAATTGTGTCATTGGAGAGGGTACATATTAATATGTCAAAATGAATATAGGATCAATTTGTGCATTTGCCTCTAATCAAACTGTCAGACAAGGATTACAGAGGGAGTGAGATCCAAGAGAATATTATGTTCGTTTGTTTACTGTACTTATATCCTGCGATAATCCAAGATTCTCAGTGGCTTACATATTTAATATAAAAAATAAAATTTCTACAGTATGTTTAATGCAATAAAACTAATAAAACAACAGCCATAAATCCCCAGTCCAAAAGACTCTATACATCATAAAAATAAAATAAAATGGAATGGAATGGAATGAAAAATGCTGCAGTGCACGAACATCAATGCCGTCCAAAGTAATTTTCTTTTTACCATCTTCATGAAAACCAAAAAGGAGGAGAGATCTAGGCTGATTCTGGGAGACTCTTCCAGAGCCCTGGCATCACCAGGCCCTGGATTATGACAGGATATAAATACAGTAAAGAAACAAACAAACATGATATTCTGTTCATGGTTAGTCATTTAGAACTGTGTTAATTTACTTCCATTAAATGTTCGGCCCTTTCTTTGTCCACAAATACCAGAGGGTCTTACTCCTTCTGCAGTCCTTCTCTGACAATTTGATTAGAGGTAAATGACTTGTAGCTTTGCTCCCCTCACCTTTTAGAAATGTAGGTCAAATAAGAGGTTTTTCTCAGTCTGATGCATTGTTGGAGTTCCTTGTGCTTCTTGGATTGAATTTATAATGCTAAATTTTTCATTACATATTTTGACATCTTCATAAACAGGATTTGAGTCAATATGCTTATTAATCCCTATTTGGTCAGAGTACAATGTTTCTAAGAATTGCATTTTTCAGTTTGGCTTTTTCTAAAGTTTGTCATTGTTTTCCCGTTGAAATTCTGCTGAAGATTATCCATATGCAAGGAGATTTAGTAAAGTTGTGTTGTGTCTTCTGACAGCTTGTTCATGGATATGTTCTGCCTGTTTGTTCTACAGAGTGGTGTTCATGATGATATTAATACTTTATTGCATTTTTGTTTGTAAATTAGACCTGTATTATCTTCCTTTGGTACTGGCTTTTGGGGTTCCTTAGTATATTTTGCTGGTTTGTGTTCCATGTTTATTTCCAAATTAAAACTTTTATTAGTTTATCAAAGTATAAAATACAAAGAAAAAAAAACATGCCTCTGATGTAATAATGTAGAGGTCTCCAACCTGATAACTTTAAGACTTGTGGATGTCAACTCCCAGAATTCCCCAGCCAGCATGGTGACTTGCCTATAATAATGGATTTTTTTTTTTTTTGAAGGCTTCAGTGTTAGTGATATCGGTGGGTTGAAGTGCACTTTTTGATGACATTATACAAATATTGCTTGCATTGAAATATACTTTGAATTTATATCTGTTTTCTGTAATTCCATGTGTTGCAATGTGTTATGGCTCATAGGGTCTTCATGAAGCTGAATATGGGTCTTCATCCAGCTCTTCTTTGTGTGTGTTGTTGGGTTGTGCTTTTTAATAATTCATAATTATGCATTAGTACAAAAAGTATTTACTCTTAAATGTCTAATTACAGTGCTCTAAAGTACAGACCTCAGTTATAAATTACCTAACAAATTGTAAATTAGCATTCATTTTACCACCATAGCTGTTTGAGATTAGATTATTTTTACAAGCAAAAAGCTGTATTAAAATTTTCTTTCTTTCTCTCTTTCTTTCTTTCTCTTTCCCACAGCCAACATAAATGTGGATATATCAAAGCCTCTGAAAGCCAATATCAGTTTTGCCAAGCTAGATCAAATAAAACAATTTCTGAAAAAGCTAAGGCAAAAGAATGGTTATGAGACCCAGGAGGAAAATGTTTCAGCAACTGATAGTGTTCCAAACAAGGATGACACATATACATCCCAGTGTTGCAAAAATAAGATTTCCAACTCTGAAGATCATAGTTATGGAGGGGAAAAAGCTTCACCACAAGAAAATCTATGGATGAGCATTTCCTGTTGTCAGCAATTTTCTATCCATACTACTCAGATTATGGTTTCTGTGGAAACTTGCCCAAATCCCTATAAACCTCGCCTGTTGGTATCTTTATCCAACCTCAGTGGAAATTTAAATGTCAAAGTCAACTGTAAGAATAAAGGTAAGAATATTGAAGTTATTTTTGTTCATGATAATGGAATCCTGACAACAGTACAGGTAGGCCTCGATTTACAACCACAAATGGGATTAGAATTTCCATCACTTTGTAAAGTGATCATTAAGTGAGTTGTGCCTGATTTTACAATCTTTTTTGCCATGGTCATTAAATGAATCATTACAGTCATTAGGAAAATATGGCTTTCCTTATTGACTTTTTTTGTTGGAAGCCCCCTGGAAAGGTTGCAAATGGGATGACATGACCCTTGGATATTTCCATAAATACGAGCCATAAACTGTCATAAATACGAATCAGTTGCCAAGCATCCAAATGTTGATCACATGACAACAGGGATGCTGCAACAGTTATGTAAGGATAGGTTACCATTGTAAATTGGAATAGTCATTAAATGAATGCTCGTAAGTTGAAGACTGTCTGTACTTATATATAATTAACCTTAAATATACCATATTGTTATAACATGACTAATAAACCTAAAGAATGAATACATAACTTTACTTTGGGACCACTTCATTCAGGTTTTTACTCAAGATATGGAAGTAACCAAACTGAACTTTTTAAAACCTTGGTGTCCTCCAGATGTATGACAATAGAAGTCCCTACATCTGGAGGGCACCAAGCTTGGGACATGCCCCCAAGTTTTAGCAGTAAACATATTGACCAAGGAATACTGGAAATTGAAAACTGTATATCAAGAGAGACTCCTGATTGGAAAAAATATTACTGAAACTGAGAAGGAGACAGGACCCTATTTATTTTGAACAAATATATTTTTCTTGATGTGTTTTGAGATGTATCTATCAAATAAAATACTCACTGGTTTTTGAAAGCTCATGTGACTCTACTCAAGGCTGTCGTACTTCTCAAGCAAGTAGAATATGCTTGACTCACTTTTCCTTTAGATAAGTCTTCATGAGCTAATCTGCAAATATCTTTGGAGTTTCAGAAACAGATACAAGTTATATTGATAAAAAAACATACTCATTTTCCCAAAGCATGTGAGGAATAATATTTTTGTCTTGGTTTTGGCTATGGCTTCTATTATGTTCTATTGTTCATTTGGTAATCTCATAGCCGCCCTGAGTCTTCGGAGAGGGGCGGCATACAAATTGAATTAATAAATCACTTTTGGGTCCTATTTCTTCTGGACATGGTGGGTTGCACTTTTGCAAGCACTATATTACAGTGTTATATTTTTCTGTTGGTTTGAGTTCAAAAATTAGTATTGAAAATTATTGTTTGGCATCACAGCTATTAGCTACGGTGCCCCCCCCAAACAAAATTTGCCTGTGTAATAGTGAAAAAATGTGTGGATGGGTCCAGAGCTTTAGAGCAAGGAACCTTCAATAGACACATGACACTAAGATCTACAGCACTTTAGAAAACTATCTCAGTATGTGATATTGAGCCTTCAAATTGAAAGCTTCCACTTTCATTGGTGGAAAAAAAAACCCTATGGTTTCCCTTGATGCTTCCAAATTTGGAAACTATTATATTGTGTTATTTTAAACAAACTAACCAGTTCAAACCATGTAAAAGTGGTTGCAGATGCAAATTTGTTTGAATGAACTATCATTAGAATAAACACGTTTTCCAAGTTTATGAATGATTGGAAACTCGTTTATTCATACCCTAAAGTAAGAGCCTTATTATTTCCTTCCACCTTCCCAGGCAGATCTGAAAGGAAATATGCCAGATGAGCTAATACTACTGTATTATTGTAAGAACTAAATTATTGTAAGAAACTTGCAAGTCTGTTAGTACAATCCTCCCTTCATTTGATTTACAGCCTGAGAAGTTAGGGAAGATCCTTTCTGAGTCTCTTTCTCTACCCATTATGCAGCTGTAGGCTACATACTCTCGTATCTGATCATTCCTTAGGCAGCATCCTTTCTCCCTACTTCCCCCCATCTCCCAAGGTCTGTCACACTTAACCATTACGCTTCCCTCACAAGTAGAAGAGAGAAAAGCTGGAGGAAGCAGGGAAACATATTCCTGAGATTCAGTCTCACAATGTTACCCATGGCTTACTGTTATGCTTTGATTTATGTCCACGTTGTGTTTAATTTAATGAATAGCAGATAAGAGCCAATAAATTCATAAATGATTTGGGATCAGGTTATCTAAAAAGCCCACTGCAACCTTATAAATTCAGCTACACTTCTACATTTCAACATTTAAGGCGGGTTTTTTGTTCAAGGAAAAAGAACAAAACAAATAGCTGTGTATCAGGGATTTGGCCTATTCTGTAGTAACCCCCGTTTTAAAACTCCTCATTCCAAGAAATTTAAATTGCTCAATCTTTGCTCATTGTTTTTAAAAATATTGAAAATGCATTAGCCTGGTGAATTTTTTTTATTTATTGATTAGCCCTTGGGCCATATCAAAGTGCAGAGTTCCACTTATGATTGGTTTAGTGTATTATTATTTAAGTAATATTTCATTATGCAAATATATGTTAGTTTTTATGATTTTTGTATTAAATGTGATTTAAAATTTTCCTTATATATATCTTTTTAAGCTATATTTTTATTTGTGAGTTGGCCCTGTAAAAGGAAATGAGTAAAAACCTCTACCTTTGCATGACATTAAGAAGAAAAGGATATGCATCATTTTTTTAAAAAAAAAATGAAAACTGTATTCTTGAGAATACTTTTTGATCAAGTATACAACAATTTATTTAAATAAAATGTATGAATGTGAAAAGTATTTGTTACAAAGAAAAAAAGAGTTTCTAAGAAGAATGCAAAAGGCAAAGGCAAATTAATCTTACACTTTTGCTTCCTTAGTTTTGTCATTTGGAAACATGCAGGTGCATAGAGGCAGATAGACCAAAGTTTGGGAAGCGAAAGCAATAGTAAAAGGAATACGTTAATAAAGTATAACTCATATGCATTAAATTTAGGCAGGAAATTTTATTTTTAATTTTTTAAAAAATAACTTCTTTTAAACATCCTGGTAAATCAGTAGTACAGTTTCATTTCATTTCATTTCATTTCATTTCATTTCATTTCATTTAATAGATCATTGCTTATTCTAAAGGAGGCTATTTTATTTCTAAGCCCAAACTAAGTATAGTTTGGTTGAAGATAAATTGCAGTAACTTCATTTCAAATGAAAATATAAGCTCAAATCTATGTAAGAGCCAATCTCTTTTTATATTCAACAATTTTATGGCAGTGTTTTTGAGCTGAATAAAGCTGATTTTGGCATATGAAACTAATATGTAAATACTTCACAGTGTTTCAGGTTTTTACAATCACATAACCATGGTGACCAGCTGCACCAGCTGCATTTTACGAATTATTTGCTGAAGCAAATGGCATACAATGACAAAAAAAAAAATCGTCCTCTCAGATGTACTGTTAAAACAGACAAAATAGCTTTGCTTGCCTTTTATACAAAATGGCCATCTGTTATACAGATGTTATAATAACCAATGACTTCAGATTCAATAATTGTAGAAAATTTTCATTAAAACCTCAACAATTTGCACTTGTTTACTTGAATCTGCATAATTCTCCCATGAGACAATACAACACACTTGGGGCTTTTTTTTAGTTCTCACTAGCAGTGGCTTTGATCCTTTTTGATGTGCTGACTTTAATAAACATAGTCAAAAAGCGCTGTTCAGAAACATCATGGAAAAAAAAAACTACAAAGGAGCAATTATAGCAGCAGAAACTACTCTAATCCCTTACTTACGCAAGCTATTTTTAGTGAATGGCTTTTTTTTTTCCTTACAAATTTTATGTGACAGTATTTTATAAACAGTGTAAACGGCCTCTTTTCCAGATGAGTCTTTGTGTAAGAGATGGAAGTTGGTTTGTAATGTAAGAGGAATCCTCTTGTGCTGAGAACCATTTTTTAAAAGCTTCGATTGGGAATGTGTGAAAAGCATGTTTTCTCCCTCATGGAAGCAAAACAAAAGCTTATGGCCGTGCCTAATGATTTTAAAGCAGGTTTCATTAACTGATAACCTGATAGTAAATTATGTTTTCCAGATATTATTCATCAGGAGTTTGTTACTTGTACGGCCTCTTTTCTATTGAGCAATCTGTTTGTTACATGCTTTATGGGATCTTGTTGGCTTCTATGCATAGAAATACATGCAGAATATCACTGAAAGCAAACAAGGCTTCATATGGATTGGTAAACAGAGATATGTTCTCTTTGTGAAAACGCACACCATAGTGATCCAGTGTGGCAAGCTAATATAGTATATCTTAATGCAAGACTGAACCTATCCTTATTATCTGCTCTTTGGCATATGAATTGAAACCAAAGTTGACTTTGAATGCTGAAAAAAACCACCAATTCTACCTAGAATTATTGCTTTAACAGTAATCAAAATTATTAGAGTGATGCATTTGTTAGTTTTTGTGGATTGGTGGGTAACTGACTGTTCTCAGGGATATTCAGGACTCCAAATTACAAATAATGTTACCTTGGTATTCCCATAAATTCCTAGGCTGCTTCATGCTAAAACCAGCTGAAGTCTCCTAATGGCTTTCAAGGGCATCTCTGTATTAGAGTGATTCCAATAATGTAGATACAAGGTGAGAGAGTCCAAGTACTATAAACAAAGGACTGCTGTTTTAGAAATGGCCTCAATTAACACACAAGACATAATTGTGCAAAGGCTGTCTTGGGCACAGTTTCAACTTTCTATTCAAGCAGGAACTGTGAGTTCAGGAAGACACTCAAATTGTGGGCCAGCTTTATCCAGAACTGAGGATGAAATATCTCTGGAATTAGTCAGCTACTCCATCTTGCTAGGATTTGGCTACTCCATCTTGCTAGGATTTGGCTTAAGCCTCTTCTTCTGCATCCAACCCTAATAGCCTCCAGGTGTTAGGTCAGGACCTACATTACAATTCCTTCTCAGCCTGTGGCAAAGACATGCAGTTGAGTATCATCCACAGATTGATGATACCTCACCCTATGTGATGGATTACCTTTCCCAAAGGCTTCAAGTAGAT